TGGAGTTATTACCCTTGGTTTCATTAATGCGATGCATGCGTTCCATGATGTTGTATTGCACTCATTGATCTACCAGTTATGTTGAATGATTTCTCTTTTAATATCAATTACTCACAAATACTTCATATATTTCAATCATACAAACAACTGCTCATTCAATGTGTGACGGGCGTATTATATACCGCTCGCGGTAACCTTGTTTGACAACTGGAAAGAGTAATTTCTTTTTTCACATTGTAGTCTCTGTGGGGAAGCTGGGTAATCAAGGGTCCTCGCCATAGCTTCTTCTTTGCTGGCGATACTGGATACTGCGACGCATTCAGACAGATTGGGAAAAAGTATGGCCCCTTTGATCTGTCTGCGATACCTATTGGAGCCTACTACCCAAGGTAGGTGACAGAAAATTGTGTTGTATTACATTGTATATAATTCACTGGCTTATATTTGGTCAACAGAGCTTAGATTTATCAAAGATTGTACGATGAGTCTTTTTCCTCCACTGGAAAGCAACAAACTGTTATATTAAGCAAGACAACACACTGTAATATTGACCCAGACAACACACTGTAATATTGACCCAGACAACACACTGTAATATTGACCCAGACAACACACTTTGATAATTGCTTGCCTCATACACTTTGATCAATTATCAATGCTTAGAAAATGACATTCAGCAGAACTTGTTTGATAAAAATGAAATGCTATAGAAATAATAGAATCTGAAGATTGCATTATACAGCTGATTTTGAGGAAAGAAAAACAAAAAAGTCTGATTTTTTCAACTTATGTCATTGCAGACATTTCATGGGGCCACAGCATATTGACCCGAAGCAAGCTGTCGACATTCACCAGGATATTAAGTCTAAGAATTCCCTAGGGATCCACTGGGGAACCTTCAAACTCACAAAGGAGGTAACCATGGAAACATTTATGTGTCTGTTATATCAAATTACTGTATACTGGGGAATTTTTGCCCCATCAAACTTTTGCCCTTCGCCAGTAAAATCCATGTTCGCCCAGTTTTCATTTAACCCTTCACATTCAATTACTATGTATATTATACTGTTTAATAATGTTCACTGTACTGATGAACTTGACCTCATTAAGGAGGGTGAAAAGGCACAAATTAAACCTTCGGGCCAGGTGAGCTTATCCCATGCTGCAGCGTCCGTCGTCCGTCAACTTTTTCCTTTGAAATGCTACTTGTCCTGAACGACTCAGAGGATTTTGACCAAATTTGGTCTGGAGCATCATTGGCCAAAGGGTTCTCAGTTTTGTGTAAACGGAGGGTATGGTCCCCCTGGGGGCAGAGGGACTAGGCCAAATAGGGGGAAAATAGGTAAATCTTCAAAAATCTTCTCCTTCTCAACCAATCGAAGGATTTTGACCAAATTTGTCCGAGAGCATCTTTAGACAAAGGAGACTCAAGTTTGTATAAACGGAGGGGGTGGCCCCTCTGGGGGCATAGGGGTGGGGCCCAATAGGGGAAATAGAGGATTTCTTTCTCCTACTATACAAGTAAAGGGATTTAAACCAAATGCAGTCTGAAGCATGATTAGGGACAAAAGAATCAAATTTGTATAAACTGAGGTGTGTGGGAAATAGAGGAAAACATCAAAGATCCTTCTCCTTTTGTACCGATGAAGGGATTTTGACCAAATTTGGTCTGGAGCATCATTGGCCAAAGGGTTCTCAGTTTTGTATAAACAGAGGGTATGATCCCCCTGGGGGCAGAGGGGCGGGGCCAAATAAGGGGAAAATAGGTAAATCTTTAAAAATCTTCTTCTCAACCATTAGAAGGATTTTATCCAAATTTGTTCTTTTGTGCTCTATTCGTTAATTAGTTACCTGTACAATACAGGCCGCAATACAAAATTCTGGTGTACATATACAAGGCACTGAATGGAACAGCTCCTCAGTGCATACAGGAGCTTGTTACCCTGTATCAGACGTCACGATCACTGCGGTCGGAGTCAGAATCTTTGTTGTGTGTCCCAAAATCTCGTACTGTGACCTACGGAAACAGATGCTTTGGAAGGGTTTCGGCTACGTTGTGGAAAAGCTTACCATCTGCAATTAGAAAGTCCAATACCCTGGCCAAGTTCAAGAGGGACATCAAAACTCACCTCTTCACGTCTGCATTTTAGAATCTTTGCAAAGACGTTATGTAAATACCACCCTTTTCAATCATGTGCACATTGCTTGCTTAAATGTATAAAAGTGATTGTAAGCCTTTGTTTTTTTGTTTTCACAATTATGACCATTACTATTATCCATATGTTGTAAAGCGCTTTTGAGTAATTTTACAAATTATATAGGGCGCTATATAAATGTTGTATATTATTATTATTATTAGAGCATCTTTGGACAAAGGAGCCTCAAGTTTGTATAAACGGAGATGTGAGCCCTCTGGGGGCATAGGGGTGGGGCCCAATAGGGGAAATAGTGGGTTTTTTTCTCCTACTATACAAGTGAAGGGATTTAAACCAAATGCAGTCCGAAGCATGCTTAGGGACAAAAGAATCAATTTTGTTTAAACTGAGGTGTGTGGACCCCTTTCTTTGGGGCAGATGAGTGGGGCCCATTAGGGGAAATAAAGGAAAACATTAAAGATCCTTCTCCTTCTGTACCCTTGAAGGGATTTTAACCTAACCAAGCTTGTTCTAGAGAATCTTTGGGCAAAGGGAATTGAATATTTATAAATGAAAAGATGTGGTCTTTCCCACCAAAACAGATTTATATGTAGTTCTTCTTGCAACTTTGTTTCTTGTACTCCTTTGATAAACCTGAATGGTACTCAGCAGGTTTTAAATTGAAAAATAAAATACCAGGTGAGCTATTAATAAGGCCCCTGGGACTCTTGTCTTTCAAAATGACTGTTATTTTACATGGTTCAAGTTAACAACCAAAAAATTGTAAAACAATCAAACTGTTCTTATGAATCCCGTCCTGATTATCTTGACGCAATATTCTGAAAAAAACCAAAATATTTCAAAAGTGACCACAATGATCTATCTGGAGCTAATGAATTAATGAAAACAATGAAATACATATAATTTTAGTAAGTGTATCATTTGATTTCCTTTGTTTTAGTACTACCTTGAACCAAAAGAGGAGCTGGAAAGAGATGTAAAGAAGGCTGGGCTGTCAGAGAATTCATTTGTGACCATTAAACATGGTGAAACAAAGACTTTTGGGGAAACAGAAACATCATTGTCAAATATCAATGTTTCCTCTTGAAACACAGAAAATGAATATCATTGATAAAAACGTGGGCGTTTGGAGGCGTTGAATGTCACTGACCATAAAACACAGTAAGAGAAGGATATTTGGAGGAATTGAACATCGTTGACCATATATAAAACACAGCAAAACAAGGGCGTCTAGAAGGAATGAACATCATCAATCATAGAATCGATAAAACAAGGGCATTTGGGAGGAATTGAACATCATTGAACATAAAACACAGCAAAACAAGGACGTCTAGAGGGATTAGCATCATTTATCATAAAACACAGCAAAACTAGGACGTCTAGAGGGATTGAACATCATTGATCATAGAATCAGTAAAACAAGTGCATTTGGGAGGAATTGAACATCATTGAACATAAAACACAGCAAAACAAGGACGTCTAGAGGGATTAGCATCATTTATCATAAAACACAGCAAAACTAGGACGTCTAGAGGGATTGAACATCATTGAACATAGAATCAGTAAAACAAGGGCATTTGGGAGGAATTGAACATCATTTATCATAAAACAAAGCAAAACAAGGACGTCTAGAGGGATTAGCATCATTTATCATAAAACACAGCAAAACAAGGGCGTCTAGAAGGAATGAACATCATCAATCATAGAATCGATAAAACAAGGGCATTTGGGAGGAATTGAACATCATTGAACATAAAACACAGCAAAACAAGGACGTCTAGAGGGAATGAACATCATCGATCATAGAATCGGTAAAACAAGGGCATTTGGGAGGAATTGAACATCATTGAACATAAAACACAGCAAAACAAGGACGTCTAGAGGGAATGAACATCATCGATCATAGAATCGGTAAAACAAGGGCATTTGGGACGAATTGAACATCATTTATCATAAAACAAAGCAAAACAAGGACGTCTAGAGGGATTAGCATCATTTATCATAAAACACAGCAAAACTAGGACGTCTAGAGGGATTGAACATCATTGATCATAGAATCAGTAAAACAAGGGCATTTGGGAGGAATTGAACATCATTGACCATAAAACACAGCAAAACAAGGACGTCTAGAGGGAATGAACATCATCGAACATAGAATCAGTAAAACAAACACGTCTGGACCTGTGCCAATACTTGCCAGAAAACAACATCAATTCACTAGTTTTACCCCTCCATCACAAAGGATCAATTTTTGTCAAAACACAGTCAACAATCATGATCCAGAAAGGGAAAATGTTTCTGATTGAAACAGAAGAAAGTCTGGCAATGATTTTTGCTGGTTTCCAATTCTAATTGTTTCTGCATTGTTTTGTTTTAGTAATTTTGTGAATTAAACAAGTAATGAACAGTAATGGTAGAAATGTCAGCATTATCTAATATTATGTGTTGTATTGTATGTGTTCACTTAGTAAATAATATATCACATTGAGTCTCCACAACATGTTTATTTATCTAACTTTAGTTTGTTAATTATCAAATTTTTAAATGAAAACAAGCTGTTTTCTTTTTTTTAAACATGAAAACTGACTTAATATCCCGTCTTTGCGTATTGCAGAGTTATCTTCTCTTGTGAGCAGGTATTGATTGTTATGTCATTTGTTTGTGAGAGTAACGTCATCAATTTTTGAGAAAACGACGTAATTTTTCTCACACAAACCAATGACGTAACAATCAATACCTGCTCACAAGAGAAGATAACTCTGCAATATGCAAAGACGGAATAGAGTTAGATAAACATGATTATCTCTGGTCAATAATATATCGGCAATTTTGATAAAAAAAAAAGTTTACTTAGAAGAAATGATTGAGGCACAACATCCATAAATGGTTTTAACTGGCCGGTACATTTTAGTAATTCAGTTAACTTATTTTTTTAATTTTTTTTTTTTAAATATAATACCTTTTGTCACAAAGTTTCTTTTAAATACATTTTATTCATAAATTTACATACATATTCATGAGTTATAATACACGATTGTTATATTGTAATGTTGCATTGTTGTGGAAAGTTACACATGTACTTGCATTTTATTATTACAAATGTTAGTGATCAGTCTGCCAGACATTGGTCACATTTTATCTTTCTCTTGTGTTTTGTCTTTACATCATTTTTTTTATCTCATGATAAATATGGTTATATTTTGATGTTCAATATGTTGATGTTGAAAATTTAACATCTATACTTATTTCTAATTTTTAGCTCACCTGGCACTTCATGCCAGTAGTGCTTATGGTATGGTGTGTTGTCTGTCAACTTCTTCTTAAGAACTGGAAAACCTAGGGCCATGATGTTTGGCCATCAGGTACCTGGGATGGAGTACTATAAAGGTTTCCTCAAATAAATGGCCTTGACCTACTTTCAAGGTCACAGGGGTTTAATATGTAAAAAACTTAAAACAACTTCTGAATAACCAAGAGGCCTAGAGGAATGATTATTGACTAGTAGGTACCTGGGACAGAGAACTATAAATGTCCCCAAATAAATAACATTGACTTCCTTTCATGGTACCAGGGGTCAAATATGTGAATACTTCTTCTGCAATACCGGGAGGCCCTGGGTGATGATACTTGACTAGTAGCGTGCTGGGATAGAGTAATATAAAGTTTCATTTAGGCTGGAACATTCTGAGGCCAAGGAGACTCAATATATGGAAATGTTCCCAATTGTACTTTTATTGAGAATATTTTCCCATGAGTGAAACACAGCATTTATCAGTGTTTCTTTCAACCTTGCAATAGTTACATACAACACTTGATTTGAAAAGAAGTTTGAGGTGAAGGGTATATTCATCCCCAACATTTCACAATGAACTATTCCAACCTTTGAATTTGAAGAGTTCAAATGTGTTTTCAGGGGTGGATGAGCTAAAGCAGTACAAGTTAAGAACCACTGCTGTGCCCTGCAAATAAATAGTATTAATTTTTTTTTTAATGGCAATTTCTTTGAAATGGTTTGCGGAGCAATGTTAACCTACCATTTTTATATTGCCCATTTTCGATTTTATTCCACATTCAAGACTTGCTTGATCTTTCTGATCAAAATTTATCTTCAAAATTTATAACCAAACTTGACCATCACCGAGCTGATAACTTGAAGTAAAAATACAATAATGTTTATGAAACATTGAAACTTTCTTGACAACTTATAAATTTCACTTATGTTTTTGTTATCAATATTTGCCTGAAAAGTATTTCTAAATAACTTGTCTCCAATTTTGTTTTTATTAATTTAATTTTGAAACTACCTAGTACTGGAATAGTGTAAATTTTCACATTTTTTTTTTTGCATTATGTTAATTATCCACATTAGAATCTTTATTGATGGGTTATAGATAGACGGAATATATGTATTGATGGGTTATAGATAGACGGAGTATATGTTTTTCAAACCCATTGCCAATGCAAGGGTTTCCACGACAGGATAATTTTAAATTGTCACAACGCGAATATTTCCACATGCGAAAATGTCCATTATATTAAAGTATATATTTGCTTTAATTGTTATGTACAATTGCAAAAAAAATGCATTATGACAGAATGATCTTAACTTGTAAATTGCGAGTCGATTGCTTTTATGAAACTTTGCAGCATTAAGTCCTGTTTTATGTGATTTTTATTTTTATTTTTTTAATGTTTTATGTGTATACCAGTAGAGTTGTTTGTGATGTAATAAATGCTTTTATTATCAGTAGACTTTGTTGTGGTCATTTAGTTGTTCATAACAAGAAAGATTGGTCCAAGCAGAAATTTGCCTAAAAATAATTAATGCTATGTAGCAGTAAAATTCCATGAGAAGCTATGTGGTTTTGAAAGTGTGCTTTCCAGCACAAATGTAAAATGGTTTCTCCATTCCAAGTATAAAAGGAAATTTACACTTTTTAGTCTGTGCTTGTAATATATATTCAATAGTCGAGGAACACTTTCAGAATTAACATTTATGCTTAAGCTTTAAGGTAACAGCTGTTTTAGGGTTTAGAAATAAGGACAGGTGTATTGTGTTCCGTTAACAATAATCTTGTTACTGTTTCAAATTAACAAGATACACATCCTCGACTCTCCAGGGATCACGCTCACTAAGCTCTCTACACCCCTGGAATATGTCATAGCAAAATCAAAGGCTCGGTGTGCCTCACCTTGTGGATGAGACGGGAAGACTAGTCCTGCTCCTTTGATTAACATTTCAAGAATCTCACCGACGCCTCAAGGTAGAATTGACTGGCTTTGAATTTGGGCATCGCTCCTCTAATCTTCTAAGGACAGGTATATCAGCCTAGCCATTTGTCAGTTTTTATTTTACCCGAGACCAATCAAATAGCTTACTGCATGCCTTCAATTTTGCTACGACATATTTCAGGGATGCAGAGAGCAAAAGTGAGCTTAACTCCTGGAGTATCAAGGATGTGCATTGTGGTATGGTGCTCATGATTTACATTTTGTGAAGAGCACCATATTGTTTTCCTGTTGTATCATTTTAGCCCCGATTGTATACCTACAGCATGTAACTGTACCAACAATAATAGTCCATGCATGCTTGGGAGAGGGAGTGTTCTATCCTGAAGATGGCAGCTGCTATTCTGTATGTTCTCCTTTGGAAACTTGTTGTGTTCAATTCTTTCCATATTTCGTGATTCTGAAGAAGTGATTTGCTTACCACCGAAGGAAAATGAAGCCAAATGAGATAACAGAATGCAGAATGTAAGATATTATCAAGGATTTTATTACCCAAGATGGGCTGCAAAGATTTTCAATGATAGTCATAATAGTCATAACATCTAGTAATGTATTAATATAAACATAATTGTGATTAAATGATTTTTATAACCTTATCCCTGTCTATAACATGAACTGAAATCACTTATATTTCACAAAAAGAAAAATGACTTTGTTTCTCATCAAGTAATTTGCAAGTATTATGAATCCGAAGACAATAACATTTATTAAATCATATTTAAAATACATGTTTATGAAATAATTGATCTAATTTACGGAAAGTATATCGTCAAATATAAGTGATCAACAGGACCTGTAGACAAAAAAGATGGACACAAAGAAAAAATGCAAATACAGATAAATAAAATGTGCTTACATGTGTAAATATCTGAAGCAAAATATTGATGTGGTACATACAACCTATGAGCATACCAGTTTTTGTATATATTATACTCGTCCTCATTTTACAGAGTGTTGACGAAAATGTCATTTTATAATATAAAGTTAGTTCAATGTTGAAATGAAATTTAACTTGAAATTATAAAGATCTTTCGTGCCTATCCATTACATGTATATTGGAAACTAGCCAATAAGGTTTCACTGCTGTTCAAATCAGTGTATATTTATAAGGTATGTAACAAATTCAAGTCAAGTTAGTCTATAATATGAAAACAGAAGATTTTTGTGAATGTCAAAAAGTCAGAAATAAACATGAATATTAGAAACTACAGTCCATGTGCTTTTTGAATGGAAGAAGTCAAAATATAACGATTCTATTAATATTACCAGTAAATAGTTTATGTGTACACAGAGGCTTAATAATACATAATTAATACATGCACAGGGACTTGTTCCAGTTAACAGTATACATGAACACAGGAGCTTGTTCTAGTTAACAGTATACATAAACACATGGGCTTGTTCCAGTAATTTTGAACACAGGGGGTTGATAAAATAAAAAGGACTTACACATGGACTTGTTCTAGTAAACAGTATACATAAACACAGGGGATTGTTCGTGTTATTGGTGTACACAGGAGATTATTCCTGTAAGAGTTAATGTGTACAGAGGTTTGATAAAGTAAATAGTACATGCACAGGGGCTTGTTCCAATTAACAGTAAACTCAAACACAGGGGCTTGTTCCTGTTTACAGTATACGTATACACCGGAGCTTGTTCCAGTAAACATAATACATCAACACAGGGACTTGTTCCAAAAAAAAGTGTTAAACATGAGCTTCTTCCAGTAAATGGCATACCTAAACAGAGCTTGACCTAAGTTGTTGCAGGTAAATCCTTCATTCTTGTGTGAATAAAGCACTATTTTTTTTTATAAACATGTCATAATACTGTTTAACCCTTTCACCACTGAAGACCATAATGGACTCATCCAGATCAATGCATGGTAGAGTCTGCTAAAGTTACATAGGGGTGAAACGGTTATGTTTGATTTGCATGCATGTATGTTCATGCCTTTTAACATTTTTCAAAATGTTTGATCTGTAGCCCAACATGACTGGTATATATGGGACCATTAAATGCTAGCTCTATTACTGATTCTGTTCTGGGTTTTTTTAATTGGTGTTCATTTACAAATCAAAATCATATGTTACAAATGCTTGAAATTAACATCCAAAACCTTGTCATTTGGTCTGCTAGAAAATAATGTTAAATATTATTTTCATATCCAAAATGCCTCATCTGGAATGAAAACTAGATAAAATTAGTTCTTAAGAGAAAACAACGACCATCTGCACAATACAAGCATTGTGGAATCGTTTATAATACAGTAGACACATAAACAACACCTAAAAACTATACAAATCGGACGATATTCCAGAGTCAGAACTCGAAACACCTGACCTAAGCCTGCAACACACATCTAACATTGTTCTCCCTGATTTAAAAGCTTATATATGACAGGATTTCAGCATGTTTACATATTCCAGTATACAGCTGGGCAGTAAAGGACACTAGAGAACACTAATTTGGCCGATTCCTGATGGGGTCACCCGGAGTGGACCTTTAATCTGCAAGTGTTGAGTGACCCGAGGTTTAATGAAACAATTCCAATTAAAAAACGTGTTCAAAAACGTATCATGCAGAGAAGTACAAATATGTATCATTTTGAATCAATGGGCATTCATTTAAATTCCATACCTAATCATTTCTTAATGTTTTGAAAAATAAATAAACAATTTTGACTAATCATACAACAAACGTAATTAAGACATAACTTTCTTTCCAAAGAATGAAAAAAAACCTATTAAAATATCACCAATATATGACAATAACCTGTGAATCCCGCCCATCTGTACAGAAGTCAAGTAACATGATAAACACATGACTCAGCCTCCATCTGACCATTACAGTACAGGTATATATAGGATGACGTGGTAGCCTTTCAAGAAGATTAGAATTATACATATAGTGACACTGTTATGCCCAGCATACAGTTTAGATGAAGCTTGTTGAATGTCTGTACATCATCATTCAATAACATGTTCACTACCAAGCATAACATATAATTACTGAGTTGTTATAGCAGCACACAGCCACCACGCTTCTTTTTCTTCGTTTGAAGAGCTGCTCTGGTGGCTGTTTCAAATACTCCCCGCACCCCCTCTTTGGTTTTAGCCGAGCATTCCAGGTATCCAAATGCATTGATTTTTTCGGAGGTGGCTCTTCCTTCTTCTGGGCGGACAGGTTCTTGTTTCATCTTCATTAGCTCTCGTTTGGTCTGGTCGTCATTTCTTAGATCTTTTTTATTTCCTACAAGAATTATCGGAACACTTGGACAAAAGTGCTTCACTTCAGGTGTCCATTTTTCTGGGATGTTCTCCAAACTGTCGGGGCTGTCTATGGAAAAGCACATGAGAATGACGTCAGTGTCTGGGTAGGACAGGGGACGTAATCTGTCGTAGTCTTCCTGGCCAGCAGTATCCCAAAGGGCTAGTTCAACCTGAAGATAGTCCATAAAATGAAGTTTGACACATGAACAAGTTTAAATGATATTTTTATTAGCTGCAAACTATCTCAAACATGCTCTTTTGGCAATGAAACCCTCTACGAGCTATCATATAATTGTAATAATTTGATTCTTAACATCTTCTTCTAAGTTAAAACTGAGTTAATGACATATTGTGCAGAAAACATTATTTCAAGTAGCCTTGACCTTAAAACCATAAAACTACAATCCCAATCAAGTGCTTACAGACTGTTAATTGTGCAGAAGATAATCTGGAAGGCAAGATTGATAGATGGACAGTAGTTTAAACAAGAGATCCCAAAGGGATCTTGGCACCCACCACAGTACCATCTTCATCAGTTCTGTGTCTGATATTTACTCTTATCTGTTCGATCAGTTTGCCTATCTGCCATCTTAATAAATCTTTTGATCAACCTCAAAGTTAACATGCACAACTCAAGACCACTGAGTGAAGGGGAACCTACGTATCAAATTTGAGAAAAATTTCTCCAGTTAATTATGAGAAATAGTGATAACAAACTTTAACTGTAACAAGATGGCCGATATGGTTTGATATGCATAACTAAGAACAAGAGGAACCCTTATGTGAAATTTGAGAAAGACCTCTCCAAGACTTTTTGAGCAACAGGGCTAAAAAAATGTTAACTCCCAATTTCAATAAGACCACCTGCCAGCCATTTTGGTTTTCCAATCATCCCCAAAATTCGAAATGCGGAACCATTGGGAACCGAATGAAATTTGAGAACGACCCCTTCTGAACATTCTGAGAAATTATGCTAACAAACTTTCATTGTCATATTCAAGATGGCCATCTACTGACGCCATTTTGGTTTTTCCCTATTGTCCCAAAATATAATATGTGTAATTAGGTGTGATGGAGAACCTTTGTTTCAAATTTGTGGAAGACCCCTCCAGAACTTTCTGGAAAACAGCGCTAACAAAACTTACTCTCAAATTCAAGATGGCTGCCTGTCAGCCATTTTGGTTTTGTGATCAGTCCCAAAAAATTATATGCATCACTAGGGATCATGGGGAACATTAATGTGAATTTTGAGAAAGATCCTTCAAGTAAGTTCTGGGAAATAGCGCTAACAAACTCTTACTCTCAAATTCAAGATGGCTCCCTGTCAGCCTTTTTGGTTTTGTGATCAGTCCCAAAAAACGATATGCATAACTAGGGAACATGAGGAACCTCCATGTGAAAATTGAGAAAGATCCCTTTAGTACTTTCTGAGAAATAGCGCTAACAAGAATTGTTTTAGGACGGGCGGACGACAGAAGCAGGGTGATTTTGAATCGCTCACCATATGATGATTACATGGATGCTGTGGATTCCGAAGGTGACCTGCTGCTGATGAAATTGAAGTTATGATAGTTTTTGTCTTAAGCCTTTCATAAACTGATAATTTATAATGCTGTCACCCCTCAAGGTAAGCTTCATGTTGGCACCGTTCTTTTTAAAATGGATGTTGTTCTGTTTGTTATTTTCACAAGAGGAAATAAACAGAATAATTATAGCAAGGCATCAAAATTGATACAAAGGGATTTGTGTGTATAATTTGTTATGATTTCTTACCTTGTGACGCAGAGATTTACCAGGTAACACATTTTTTTTAACTCTTATGATAATACGTTTTTTAATTCTATAAGCACATCTAAGCATTTTCTTTCCCAATTAGCAGCAAAGGAAATAATATCAACCTACAAATGATGGAAATGTTGACAAACCTTTATCAGCATATTAACATGTATTTTGTAAGTGAAATTTTCTTCCAATTCAGCTGCAGGCAAGAAAATCAGTAAAACTTGTGGATTATGCTTCCTCAAAAGAACTGGCAAAGCGTGACCTGTGGCGCACACAGACCCAATATTAAAGTGGCACATGACAAATCACCCACCCATCCTATAGATCACTCATAATCAACTTTCATTTAGCTACCTTCATAAAGTCAGAAGCTATGGCTCGGAAAATATGTTTCACCTTTGAACTCAATATGACCATTACCTTGGGCGTACAGACCCAAATGTGGTTTGCGACACACATGACCATCCTACATTTAGACATTAAATTTCACTAAGATATCTTTGACAAGTTAGAACTTATGGCCTAGACAATTAAACTTGGCTTTGACCTCAATGTAACCCCACCTCTAAATCTTTTGCGTACAGAACCAACTGTGTTTGCTACACACTGCCTAGCCATCCTACATATACTCCTCAAGTTTCATAAATTTACTTTCAGTTAGTCAAAAGTTATGCCCTAAACATTGAATTTGACCTTTGACCTCCATGTTACCATGATCTTTGGTGTATATGGAACCAAATGTGGTTTGCGACACACAGCCTCGTCATCCTACATTTATTGCTTAAATTTTATTGATCCATCATGATCACCATGAAGTCAAAAGTCATGGCACCAACAATTAATATCACTTTTGACCTCAATGAGGCGATTTCCTTGGGTGGAAGGATAAAATTGTTTTGCGACACACCGCTTCGTCATCCTACATAATTCCTAAATTTCACTGAACTATACTACAGCAAGTCAAATTTTTAGACATGACCTTGACCTCTGACTACAATTTGACCTTGACATTGGGGGAACAGATCCTAGAGTGGCATGCGACACACTCCCTTATGCCATATCCTTAAAATTTCACTGAGCTGAATTATTCAGCAAGTCAGAAGTTATGGCCTGGACAAACAAAGACGCTTCTTTATCTCCCAAAACATTGTTGGGGAACATACAAGAGCTGTAAAACATTTTTCATCAGTTATTTCCAAATCTGTAACATATGGTTTAAATTTAAAAAGTTTATTATAATAATCCTGAACAGTCCACTTGATAAAACATTGTTCTTATAGGGATGCTACATCAGTGTAACGTAGAGAAACTGGGAGTTTTTTTCCCCGGATTGGGATCTATTAAGATTTTTTCAATGATTGAAAGTCACAGCAATTTATCTTCAGGTTTATGTCAACTGCAGCCTTCATATATTGCACTACACATCTTGTGTAGGCAATGCAGCTACAATCTCAATGCCATTAAGTTTTCTTGAATGGCTTCAAAGTAAATTTTGTACTTAACTTTTGACCAACCGACGGAGGTGATAACCTAATTACAGTTCACTGAACACTTTCAGAAGGTGGTGCATTTGTTCAACAGTCTAAAAGTTACAACCAGGACAGGATTTCACATGGAGAACCAGTACTATTCAAATACCAAATGTCTCCGCTCATTTAAAGGAAAGACTAGTCAACAATTATCATATATGAAAGATAATTACAGGTTTTTAAAGAAGAAAAACATTTTTTCGAAAAGCCATGCATGTCAGAGTTGACTCCAACATGCATGGCTTTTCGAAAAAATGTTTTTGGTAGCCTAAAATAATTTTCTGCACTTAAAATAACACGAAATTTGATTAAGATTCCTGTAACAATGTTAGAATAAGACAGTGACCTTTGTGAATGGTACCAGTTTTATGACAAACAATCCTAATACACCTCAGACCCCATGGATATCCCATCGGCTGCCCATTTCATATAATAAAACATGCTTCAGGTAAAGTGATGTCAAATGGAAAGGTCCCAGATTATGCCATATCGATTAGGTAATGTGATAATTATATAATGTTGTATAGGTTTTGAAGCATGGTAGATTCTTTTGATGACAACGCCAAAATAACAAAAACTGATAAACCAAACCTGGAAAATATTCTATTTTTAAATGTTTCGACACAAATTCATCCCATCACTTTGTCATCACGGGCATTATTTTGTAGGAAAATGTATGTTATGCTTGTTGCAACAAATCAAACATGTAAAGTTCACAACATGCATATAATAAACCAGGTGTGATTGCAAACGAGTAATAGCTATGTACTTTGAACTTTGCCTATGATAAGTATTTAACACTATATAAATACGATCTGCCCTATGCTATCATCTTAACACTGTACTTGTGTTTGTAGATCAAGTCCACCTCGCGCCTTAACAAATGTGTCGTAAACAGGAACTGCAAACATAAAAGTAGCTTGGTTTAATCCTAGCTACCAAGTGTAGGATACCTATACACTCCTTTTAATACATTACAACAAGTCCATATTTCAGTAAGATCTTTTTATTATGTTTAGAATGTAAAATTGATCAATTCTATCATTTTCTCTTGGATTATACAGCTTTTGAGAAGAAATGAACACGTCTACACATTCTTGCATGTTGCCTGCTCACATCTTAACAGAGTGAACACTTGTGATGATATATTTATCTAATGAACAGTACTAATTGATGACTTACAACTATAGAATGTAAAAGCAAGACATTTTCAAAATTATCTTTTTAGACTTTGTGTGTTTTTTTTTTATACAACTAGGTTGGCTTTCACATACATTATTTTTATCTAGTTTACTGTCATTTGTCAATGCCCGATTGGATGATTTGGCACACCTTTTGACCTTTATCTTATTAATCTACCTGCATTAAGTCTGTATGACTTGCCACATTTGTATCACCTATTTGATGTTAAGAAGCACCAGGTATTTCTGCACATTGCATATCAATGTTTCATAAAAAAGATACACAAATATCGTCGAACAAGGAAAACAACTTATGATCAATACTGAATCCATTTTGTGAGTTATGAATTCACAAACCAGAGTTCAGTTAACCATATTTAGTTATCCCAATGAGACTCTACAATTTACGCGTACAATACCCCCGGCCCCTATAGCTAGTCGGAGACAACTAGTCAATATTACTACTGGGACACTAGAAAAGTTTGTTAATACACAAGTTTTATCTAGGGAAGTCAGAAAACCGAGTCCGCTCTGCATCTTAGTTGGAAAGCATAAAGCTGTATGAAGTACGTACATGCACACACTATTGTGTAGCCTGATACAACAAGATGAGAAACCTACAACTGGTCACAACTTGCAAGCCATACTTTATACTGGTCTAATATCTACACAAGTTGTCTAGTGATTTGACATTTTATCATAATCTCAAGAGTAAAATGATAACGCATAGACGTCAGATTAAGCACAAAATACATATTGACATACATTTTCTCTAGATCTATGGATATTTGAAGATTTTTTTTCCCTTTCACCTCAATTTGTTAAATTTATTCACTTTATAGGTTATGCATTGGTGGAACTCGTACAGAATATTTTCTTTTTCCTATGGTAGTTATTTCTAGGTGTACCTGCCCATTATCTATAATATAATGTACAGTGAAAGACCTGGGATTATGTTACCCGATTGATGTATGACAATTTCGTACATTTCTTTTTTAACCAATGCACAACCAGTGTTTACATTATATATCTGCAGTGTGACGAAAGTACAATAAAACACATATAGGTACGATGAATGAAAGCCAATTATCACTTATAATAATATGAATGTCGGGAGTACAAGAATAATCTTACTGATATATAGCATAAGATATACTAGATCATTAATAAGTTTATAATAATAAAAGTTTACAAATGTACATGACATATACTACAAACACAGCGATGGCAGGTTGACCACTGACAAGAAAACCTCGTCACAATCACGGATACATGTACCGCATTCACCCAAATCTAGACCATGGAACTGCAGCATTTAGATTTGGCAACGGTAGGTTGTGTTTATTCAAAAGTAAGATTTAAATGTAAATGGGGGCTCTAGACCATATCACAATTTCACCTGCGACTCGAGGTTTGACACGCCAATGGTCAGACAACCAATCAAAGTTTGCTCATCTGTGCATACATAGTGCATCAAAAAAGTTCCATCCCCCTGTTTTTTTCATAGCTCCAGTCAATGACTTGTATGGAAAACATACTACCTGCCTTGCTACTGGACCGACAAAAACAAATATTTAACAGATTCCTGTCTATGTATAGTCAAGTCTTTAATTTGTTCATGATTATTTATGAAATTTTTTAAGACAAGATCTCCAACTTGCACAGGTTTGTTAGTTTGTTTTAAAAGAACACTAATTTGGTCTGTTTTCTGAGTCTTTCACACGAAAAGCTGCAGAACATTCTTTATGTGTACACACAGTTTGGGAATGTACTGCCATGACATTGCTATTCATACAAGACTCGCCACAGATATCGAGGGGTGCCACATAGAAAGGTCCATAAAGTATAGTCTATAGCAGTCGACACATTTTTCTATTCTTCTTCTTCTTTTGTAGAGCTGCTCTGGTGGCTGTTTCAAATACTTCTCTTACTCCCTCCTTGGTTTTAGCTGAGCATTCTAGGTATCCGAAAGCGTTGATTTTTTCTGCAATACCTCTTGCATCCTCTACTTTGACTGGTTCTTGTTTCATCTTCATTAGCTCTCGTTTGGTCTGGTCGTCATTTCTTAGATCTTTTTTATTTCCTACAAGAATTATTGGAACACATGGACAAAAGTGCTTCACTTCAGGTGTCCATTTTTCTGGGATGTTCTCCAAACTGTCAGGGCTGTCTATGGAAAAGCACATGAGAATGACGTCAGTATCTGGGTAGGACAGGGGACGTAATCTGTCGTAGTCTTCCTGGCCAGCAGTATCCCAAAGGGCTAGTTCAACCTACAATTTAGGAACAATACATAATGAAATTATTTGGATTGAACTATAATATGGCCAACAGTACCACTTACAGTGGTGATATTAATTTTACTATATTATCAAGCAACATCAATTATCTTATTTGATCATTTGAAAAAAAAAAAAAAAATGCTAGTAAAACAAGGGTCGTGTCTCAATTATGAAAAGATATTTTTAAAGTTAATTCATTTTCCATTTTGAAATTTAATTAAGATACAATGCAAGCGATTATCAAATAGGATGTTCCTTTAGATAAGATTGTTAGATAATAACCATGCTTCATGCAGTATGTGAATTTCTATGCAACAAGAGAGATTGCGCTGGTTACAGATATTTGATGCGGATATCATTCCAGATTGACAATTGAATCCTTCAGTCGCTGCTGTTAAGCTATTAACCAATGGGTCAGTAGTTCTTCTAATCTAGATGATCATTCTGTAACCTACTGTAACAACTGGATTAATCAACACTATCTATTTTGATGCTAAGAGTTCTTTGTCACGATCAAGGTTATATAAACAATGGAGTACCCCAGCAAGTGGCATCAATAAATATGAGTAAATGACCAGACTCTTTCTATAATCTGTATGACAACATGTATTGCAGGCAAGTGGACAACTGTGAAACACTATATATGTACCAGTGACTGTTTTGTAGTTGCTTTCTGAACATGATTGAACTAAAACACCTTAATTTCATAAAGTTTAGTTGGAATCTATGGACAGTTGACATGCATCTGGTATAGTTTTCCTCGTCAAAAAAGTTATTTTTCAACAAATCTTCTTTAGGAGTTTAACTACAGCACTATAAGTCGTTGTAAATGTGGATAATTAATTAATTGATGGTGTAGATCTATGATTTCAGATTGATTTATCAAATTAATTGATGGGTGTAGATATATGATTGATTATCAAATTAATTGATGGTGTAGATCTATGATATCAGATTGATTTGAACTACTGCCTCAAGTACAACTCAGACAATTAATTTATGTCTCAATTTTCAACATAATTTACCAATATTTTTCATATGAATTCTTAAGTCATTCCAAAAGCCCAAATTTTGGGTCTCACCTTTTGATGCATTATATTATCAATGCTTTATCTGTAAAAGCATATTTTTTTTTAATTGAATGCTATTGAATGAATTTATGTCAGCATTATGATACAGTTAAAATTTCACAAACTTTAAAAGTTGTTGTACATGTATTTGTAGACAAGCCACAAATTTACAGCAAGGTTTGAACATCAAAACTACTCCTTTAGCATGAAACCACATTATTAGTAAAAACAACGGAAAACATGGCATAATTTGTGTGAACTCCACATGAAGGACTTACAATCTGGAGGTTTAATAGTTTCAACAAGAAGCAGTTTCCCTTTAATAAAGAGATACCAATGAAGAACAATATTATCTTTGTACACATGCAATACTCGTGGTCATCATTCCACTACCAGTCAGTCGAGTCAGAAGTTAGATGTGGTGGAGGGGTTTGGGAGGGTTCCTGAAACTGCTCATGCACACACAAACTGCACAACGGTTCACACAAGGCAAGTCTGTAGTGCTCGGAACATCTAACCGATTCAGGCAAACAGCATTAGTCAATGTTTTTTACTACTGATGAACACAATCGGGCAGCATCCTAATATGAATGAAACTTACCCGTACTCTTAAATGATTTGGAGTTGTCTTACTTCCATGGAAAAGTCTTGTGCGAAAACGATGTGTTCAATTTATGAACACCAGTATGATTGAATAGACCTTCACAGATGGGCTGGAAACTTGTGCAAACCTAAAAAGTCTTTATTACTGAATTTCAGTACTAAAGGTTAATGCAAACCTAGGCGTCCTGCTGAAGTTACCAGACAGTGAACAGACAGTACTTTCCGATCCAGATACTAATCATTACCTGGGTACATTTATAACTATTATACCACAATATTTTCTATTCAATACATGCAAGCAAATACTTCTGTAGCAACGTCATATTAGCTTTGATGAGGTTTTATCTTTCAATAATCTCACTTTGCATATGCAATTTATGTATGTTTGAACAGAGAACTACAAAATTAGGCCTAGGGGGGAACTTTCATCCCGACCAAATAATGGTTTAGCATAAAGGATATGTTCAAAATAAGAAAATGTTGAAACAACTTTTTAAATGACTCTTTTTGCACAGAAATTATGTGTGATTTTTTTTTTATATTTTTCAATACAACCCTTTTTGTGCTTTTATGACAATTCATTATGAAGTATCATTTTATCTTTTTTGATTGAACTGACATTCTTATTTCTTATTTTTACCTCAAAAATGAAGATTCATTCAACTAACTTGTATGAGCTGCAAGCAAGCAATCAATCAGATAAATTTATAACCCTGTAGATTTTGAATGCTTCAAGTCAATTTGAGACAAAAACACGAAATCAACAATAAATATGAAAACAAACAGTTTGTGTGACGAAATACAAATTTATTACTACACAAATTGCTATATTTAGCATGGTTACAAATTTGTTTACAGAAATACCACAAAATGAAGATTAACATGAAACTACAAGTTTAGAGTCAGAGACAATCAAATAAAATCAGATCTTAAATAATAAAAATATCTTTCAATATCTTTTGAATTTTATTTAAGAGAAAACATGTTTTAATCTCACTTGACTGGTTATCACAAATTAAAAGTTCATTCAAGATTAAAATAAATATAATTATAAAACAACAATTATATTTACAAGTCAAACACTGGAATGTGTAGAATTAGAATGTAAACATTGTGTTAAAGAGAAAACTCTTTAAAGGGAAGAAAGAAATCACATTTGCAACTTGTGTAATTTTAAAGCTTCAAATTTTAAAGCTTCAATGCCCAACAGTATATTTTTATCAATCTTCTATACTCTTCCTTTGGGAATTATAATCATCTAATGATGTATCACAAACATAGAATGCATAAAAAAGTCAAGAATATTTCAGGATGGCTTTGTTATTCCAAGACAACATGTACCAAAAATAAAACAAAGCTTCTATCTGCTTTTACTATGAACAACTTCACATCTAATCATACCCATCAGTAATATGTATAGGTGTGATTTTTAATCAAATGCAAACTACAGTATTTAAACGATGTTAAGCCTTTCCATTTGTGTTGAAAACTTCTAGAAATTGCATTTGAACTGTTTTGTATCTTATATCGTTCAAAGAATCTTGCAAAAACGCCTCCTTCTCTTTTTCTTGGATGACAGGGCAGCAGCTGTGGCGGTCTCAAACACTTCTCGTACCCCTTCTTTTGTCTTGGCTGAACACTCCATGTAGGCCTTGGCGTGAATGGTATCTGCCGCTGACTGCCCTTCTGATGCCTTTACCGGTTCTTGTTTCATTTTACGTAGCTCCCTCTTTGTGTTTTCATCATTTCTAGTGTCTTTTTTGTTCCCCACAAGAATAATAGGAACATTGGGGCAGAAGTGTTTCACTTCTGGAGTCCATTTTTCTGGAATATTCTCTAAACTGTCTGGGCTGTCGATGGAGAAACACATAAGGATGACGTCTGTATCAGGATAAGACAGAGGTCGTAGTCGGTCGTAATCTTCCTGACCTGCCGTATCCCATAGGGCCAACTCTACCTGCAATGATACAAGGTGACAAGTTTTTGTGAGATCTGAAGCACAAGCTAAAAGCCACTTTAAGTATATTCAACATTAGCAGCAAAATTAAAAACATGCCTCAAATATAGTGTAACAACAAAAATCATGCAATAGTTTACCTTAAAGAACATTTAATTATCCTATGGTTCACACACATAGCATTTTTTTTCAAAAGATGGATTGCTTTATAAAACCGCCTTAAATATGATTGAATTCAATAATTCAGTTATAAAACATGAAAAGATATTTTGAACTATTATATTTCAAACATTGTTAGAAATGCTTCAGGTAATCCCCGAAAAACTGGTACCATGAAGCTTTTTGTTATAGATATTTAGTGTGAACCAAAGAAGACAGACAGATAATGCAACAGAAGTGAAAGTGCTGAAATACTAAGGTTGTAGTGTAGCCAAAAAATATTTTATGAAATGAAACTTTTATAATACAGGAGAAAATATGTTGAAAGGAAAATGAGAGAAAAATGAAATGAAAGGTCCAAGTTCTTTTTTTTTCCAGGTACAACTTGATCAAATAATAGTACAAGAATTATAAGATCTCATTTGGACTACAATCCTCAACAGCTGGTACAAATCCTTACTGCATGCAGACATGGAAAAGGACTCACCTTTTCAATTATAATTTATTCTTCAGATGTCGGTCTGCTTCATGTTGTAGGAAACAAGTCGAGCGAAAAATTCGCGAATATAATGATTTGGAAGTTTTAGATAACATGATTATCTCAGTTCAAATATTTAAGCAGTATTGCCTTACGTAAAATCAACAACTACTACACAATGTATACATTGAAGATGAGGTGAGAACAAAATGTGCAAATATCTCCATAAATAAAATTTGAAGCCAAGTGAAAGAATACAGTTGTTTTGCACCGCACACAGTCTAAGACACTGAAGCACCAATATAAAAAAATACATAACAATAAATCAATCAGAGCAAAATGAAAGCAAACAATTCTACCTAGCATCAGAGAGAGTTCCATTTCTATCCTACTATTAAAATCTGCATGCAATTGTAAATCCTACACAACTTCGTTAAGAACTATTACTGGAAATGTTACCCTGGTAGAAAAATGAGAAGTTTATCTTAGAATTAAGATACAAGAAAGCCGAGCCCCGACTTTCCTTGAATACCAATCTGAAGCAATCATCCATATCTGTAACCAGCACAATGTTCCCGTGTCGAAAACACAGTGTTATATAATAGACCTACTCTGCAGGACTTTTTGAAATATACAAACCTGTTTTCCATCTACTTCTATATCTGCTACATAATTTTCAAATACTGTTGGCACATAGACTTCAGGGAACTGGTCCTTGCTGAACACAATCAGGAGACATGTTTTACCACAGGCACCATCTCCTACAATGACCAGCTTCTTTCTTATAGCAGCCATGTCTCTAACATCAAAATCTGAAATACACAATAAGTAACAGCATGTGATGCAGGGTGGTATCAAAAGTGTAAATACAAGTTTGTCCCGACAAACGGTTGGTCCAACTTTCGTCTTTAATACAGTGTCTGCTCAAATTATTAAGTTACTTTTAATGAGGAATACAGCTGATTTAACGACTACATTAGTGTTGTGGGACACCAACTAATGCTTGGTTGATCCCATTCTGTTAATTATATAAATGGACCTGATATTATGTATAATCAGTATTTAAAATATTAAAAATAAAGTCTAAACAACAAAGATTTTTATCAACAACAGTGAATTATCTTTTCCTCAATAAGTCTTTTCTGGTTGGTGCCTGTTTGTTCAACACGATAAATCTCAAGTCCGATACTAATCACTCAACACAAACAAAACTCTGGACTTTAACTAGTTATCCAATTAGTAAATCATGGACTATACGCGAGTGATTTGTCTTCCTCTTTTCTACAGGGGCATGTGCCTGTGTTGATTTTAGAAAATATCATCCACAATTATTTTTTGTTTGTCCAGATTTCGGGAAGGAAACCAGCTAAACATTATGCAGGGGAATGTAAGGCTCCAACAAATAGACCTTAAAAATCACTGTGAACGGTTTTATCGAATATTCATCTGGGGCTACCAAACAAAAACAGTATGTGGTTAGATTCTAGACGTGTGGAGCAGGCTTCCTCTTTCACTGAAGCCGAACCCATCTTCAGCAGAATTCAAAACATTTTCATAGAATACATCAACCTATACTGTGCCAAACAAAACATACCAAAACAAACGTTCGATTAGACAACCGTTAAACATCGAATAAGATCCAAAAAGAGGGTTTTCCAGACATTCTAGTAGACAGCAGATGCAACGATGATGTCATCAAGATGGCGAATATGGAATTCAAAGATCAAACCCACAGCAAAAACATACGAACTATACATATTTCACCACACATACACATTTGATCGTTACTCATTAGGACAGCTTAGTTATTGCAGGACAAGATCTGGCAACGCATTATGCATTTTATAACCGAATTCGCCGTCAAATCGTAATGACAATGAGCATGCTGAGGTCATTGCCAAATAGGGAAGTGAATAATTATATCCACAATTCTAATAATATTCATCGTTTCAAAGATTTTTATCGATCATCTTTCTTTCAGTATACATAACAGAAGTTTTGTAGACAATTTCTTACCTTATACCGTATGTAATTTACCGGTTTCAACTAAGTAAAAACGTTCATCTACTGATACATTCAAGCACCGACCACACCTCAATTGTCCTTAGAGGGCTGAATCAATTGCTCAGGAATTGTGGGAGTCGGATGTTTGTCTGAAGCATCATGGGAAGTATTTGACTGTGTTATTTTAGTGTTTGATTCATATATCTATACGATTCAAACGTTCAAGCGACGTCAGAAACAGCAGACGAAATCTGCTCTTTCCGGGTTTATTTTGTTAGAGCCTATTTTGTCTGAATTTTTATACAAATAAAATTTATTTAGTTTAAAAGATCAAGTGGATGTTCATTTTGAGCCGATGTACAAATTTATGCATTTATATTTCTCAAAAAGAGCCTTTAAAGATGCATATTTGTTAAAATAAGTTTTTTTGTAAACAACGTCGTGAAAACAAAAATAGCTTTAAAAACACTTACCGTTGTTTCTTGAGCAACACAGTAATGACATTACTCTCAGGAATATTTGTATTGTAGGCCATGACTCTTGTTTATATATCTAGGGCCTGCTTGTCTAAAAATAACCAGAAACTTAGTGAGCTAAAATCTGATTGGTCCGATTCTTTGCCACAGCCAGAAACTATAAATAGAATGCTACCTTTTACAGTTGATAATACGCGTACTCTGAATAATGACTAACATTTAAATATATCTGCCATTCGTTTTGTATAAAACAAGACAGCCTTAAAGTAGATTTATTATATTCAATATTGAGAAATAATGAACACAATATTTCAACAACAACGTAAAATAACTTAGAAATTAACGTAACGAATTGTTAAATAAATGTTAAATGGTCCCTGCATGCTGGGGACTGAAAAGGTAAGAGTAAAATAAATATAATGTAATTGCATGGATTTGACACATATTGTCATATGTACTCAAATACTTTGAATTCGTCTCCGATACACCTGGTCAACAACATTATTTTTCCCCAGCAATTAGGCTAATTAATATAAATTGCACTAGATCAAGCTAGATTACCAATTGTGAGGTCATAGTTGCATGTTTACACAAGAAAGTACATATATATATATACTTAATAATAATAATAATATATAATGTTTGATATAGCGTCCTATCTAGCTAACATAAGCCACTCTAAAGCGCTTTACAGTAGTACAAAGATATACAATTAATACAATTAGGATATACAATTTTTGAGGAATTCGCAGGAGCTGCCTTATCAAACTACTAGTCCTATGCCACCTGGCTAATATCTCCCTATGTGTGTATGCCTGCGTGTGTGCTGGAGATGTATTGTGTATATACTTCAGCTTAATTTCGAACAATCTTCCTATGATTCTCCAGAGACATATCAAGTTACATGCATCTAAATTATAACCAAAGATATAGCTTAATTAGGTCTAAAAACTATTTGTAACTTAATTTTTCATCTTTAACGTACACATGTATTATTCTGATTCTTATCTGTTGTACTTCGCTGGTGGTATTAATGACATCAATAATTTAATCAGTTTTCATTCTTGAAAACTCAGCATCAATATAATTTAATATTTTAAAGCCTCTATTTCTCCCTGATGCCTTTGGGTTTGACTTTTTTTATTGAACCATTCCATGAAATTTAAGAGTTATTGAGCTTTATAACTTTATTCTGTACATGGTTGTGACCACTGTGAAGATTAAAATTAATTTCTTCATACTTTAGCAAATATTTACAATGTTGGGGATCTTAGCAGTTTAGCTCACAGGTTGGGTGTCTGGGACATTCACACGAAATAAATGGAGAAGAAAACTTAAAAATATAACCTAAAAGAGAGAAAATCACTTTTTAGATATGACGTCATAATACATAAGATGTGACTATAAATAACGCCACCATAGTCTTCAACACAGTTTAAGCCTTCAAACATTTTTACAAGAAGTGGTATAAGAAGGGAAAAGTTATATTATTAATCAAAACAGTTATGAAATATCTTGTAACACAACGAATCTTAAAAATTTGGTCTGTGCGACGGACATCTCGTGAACTAAACTCATTAATCTGAGGCCTAATGGTTGTGATTTAGTGTAAATGCATTGCATACATATTGAAAATACCAATATCTCTACTGTACTTGCAGTTTTATCGTCGACTTAGCCGTCAATGCAAGTATTTTTTTTATTTTTTTACAAGTGTACTTTGGTATATACCATGTATACTTACGACCCAATGGTTGTTTATGGAAATGACGCTCGGACAGATTTGATAATTCATTTTCCATTTTCATGCAATGTGTATAGTTTAGAATTTTTTTTAACCAGTATTGCTTGTGTCTAATATTTAGCCATCTTACAACACTTTGATTAAAACACCATCTCAAAATGTTCTAGATTTATATTTGAAAATAATTTGTTGTCGGCCTGAAAGTACTGAGCCAAGCACTGTATAATTGCTGCATGATGATTGTACATAGAAACCGACCAAAAAACCCCTCTGGATCTGCCATGCAGTCTGTTCAAGCCAATGGTCTGAAGTTGTAAAACAATCGGGAGACTTCAATGTTTGCAGACGGAAACTTGAACAGTGAAATGTATATTCAGCCTCTAGATTCCAATTTATAGCCTGTGGTTGTTAAAAACAAAAATTCAGACAAACCCTACTTGTTTCAAGATGAGAACACCACCCCTCATGCCACCTATCAAACAAAACTGTGGAAGGCCGATCAGAACATGGAATTCCCATTTTGCCATGACCTGCCCAGTTTCCTGACTTAAATTTCATTATCATTGATAATAGTTGGGTTTTGATGAATAATAATGTAAAAAAGAATGCTGAAAAAACCCACCTCGGATGATCTTAAGTTGCAGTTTCAACGTTCCTGGAACATTCAGAATCTGTACTCACCAATCCCAGGGTCTGTACAGGTCGTTATATATACGATCAAAAGGTCTCATCATGGAGTATTAAAGATATAAATCAAATTCTAAACAGGTAAGCAATCCTTTATTACCATGAAATATTTTCAATAAATAAATCTAGATGGCAGATTTTTTGTCCACTTTTGTCACAATGCCGTGCAAGAAGGTTCCTATTGTAGGTCAGCATAATTCCTAATACAGATTCTCTCGAAAATCTGTTTCCATCACGACTTCCGAGACGGAAGATAATCGACTCTACGTTTTCCCATGTTTTTACACGTTCTTATTAAACATATGATTATTTCTTTCTCGGTGGGTAATAATGCTACTAGTTCTCATATCCTGCATATGTTTACATTTTATAATTATGTGATACCTTTCATTTTTAATTTCATTTGGAAATTCATGATACGTGATCCCGTTATGTTTCATCCTCGAAACTTCAGTGGTTACGTCCACTTTCGCTCTGCACCCCTGGAGACATCCTTGTTACTCCAGGCCCCTGGAATCATCCTTGATACTCCAGGCCCCTGGAATCATCCTTGACACAACAGGTCCCTGGAATCATCCTTGACACTCCAGGCCCCTGGAATCATCCTTGACACTCCAGGCCCCTGGAATCATCCTTGATACTCCAGGCCCCTGGAATCATCCTTGATACTCCAGGCCCCTGGAATCATCCTTGATACTCCAGGCCCCTGGAATCATCCTTGATACTCCAGGCCCCTGGAATCATCCTTGACACTCCAGGCCCCTGGAATCATCCTTGACACTCCAGGGCCCTGGCATCATCCTTGACACTCCAGGCCCCTGGAGTCATTCTTGATACTCCAGGCCCCTGGAATCATCCTTGACACTCCAGGCCCCTGGAGTCATTCTTGAGACTCCAGTCCCCTGGAATCATCCTTGACACTCCAGGCCCCTGGCATCATCCTTGACACTCCAGGCCCCTGGCATCATCCTTGACACTCCAGGCCCCTGGCATCATCCTTGACACTCCAGGCCCCTGGAATCATTCTTGATACTCCAGGCCCCTGGAATCATCCTTGCCACTCCAGGCCCCTGGAATCATCCTTGATACTCCAGGCCCCTGGAATCATCCTTGACACTCCAGGCCCCTGGAATCATCCTTGATACTCCAGGCCCCTTGAATCATCCTTGACACTCAAAGCCCCTGGAATCATCCTTGACACTCCAGGCCCCTGGAATCATCCTGGACACTCCAGGCCCCTTGAATCATCCTTGCCACTCAAAGCCCCTGGAATCACCCTTGTTACTCCAGGTCCCTGGAATCATACTTGACACTCCAGGCACCTGGAATCATCCTTCATACTCCAGGCCCCTGAAATCATCCTTGACCCTCCAGGCCCCTGGAATCATCCTTGACACTCCAGGTCCCTGGAATCATATTTGACACTCCAGGTCCCTGGAATCATCCTTGACACTCCGGGCCCCTGGAATCATATTTGACACTCCAGGGCCCTGGAATCATCCTGGTTACTCCAGGTCCCTGGGATCATCCTTGACACTCAAGGTCCCTGGAATCATCCTGGACACTCCAGGCCCCTGGCATCATCCTTGTTACTCCAGGTCTCTGGAATCATCCTTAATACTCCAGGCCCCTGGATTCATCCTTGACACTCCAAGGCCCTGGAATCATCCTAGAAATCCCAGGCCCCTGGAACCACCCTTGTTACTCCAGGTCCCTGGACTCATCCTTGACACTCCGGGCCCCTGGAATCATCCGTGACACTCCAGGCCCCTGAAATCATTCTTTATATTCCAGGCCCCTGGAAGCACCCGTGTTGCTCCAGGCCCCTGGAGACATCCTTGACACTCCAGGTCCCTCGAATCATCCTTGACACCCCAGGCCCCTGGAACCACCCTTGTTACTCCAGGCCCCTGCAATCACCCTTGTTACTCCAGGTCTCTGGAATCATACTTGACACACCAGGTCCCTGGAATCTTCCTTGACACTCCAGTCCCCTGGAATCACCCATGTTACTCCAGGCCCCTGAGATCATCCTTGACACTCCAGGGATGCAGAGGGCGTAAGTGAGCGTAACCCCTGGAGTATAGAAGATGGTGTAACCCCTGGAATCATCCGTGACACTCCAGGCCCGTGGAATCATCCTTGATTCTCCAGGCCCCTGGATTCATCCTTGATACTCCAGGCTCCTGGAATCATTCTTGATACTCCAGGCTCCTGGAATCATTCTTGATACTCCAG